TGTTTTAAGCATCAGCGAAATGTTTAATTCTGCCAAACTAATTTCAAAGTGCCATGAGGTCATACATGCAGTTAATTCACTTTCTGTTAGAAGCCTTTTTATGTACTGAGCAGTTATTTACAGGTCTATAAATGCTGTATCAGTTATGTAAGTGCACTCGACTACCAGAATGTCTCAACCATTCTCTTATAGATAAAATGATCAAAAAGACCAAAAGGAAATCTAAACTTGTTAATCTAAACAGTACAAATGTGAATATATATAAATGTTTGCAGACGGTAACAGTAAATTCTTTACTAATTGAACAAACACTAAGAGTCTTTCCTACCTTCATTAAGCGATGTTCATCTCCTGAATCCAAAGAACGAACGAGGAGAACAGAAGAGCTTCATCAGTTTAAACAGTCGACTGAATGTGGTTAAAGTGTTGTTGTGTTCTCGCAAACAATATTTCTTCTTCCTGTTTACACTGAATCAGTCCTTCATTCTTCAAGTACACAAGATACATTTATTCTTATTAGAAACTTAATATCATAAAAATCTTGGAAGAACTGCTCTATATTAAAGAATTTTAATGAGGCACAAGCAAAATAATGAACACTTTCCGCATTAAAAGGCTTTTCACCATCTGGCTTCAACTGACATGCAGCTCCATTTTTTCACACTACAACTTCCGTTGTCACTTAACCCTGAGACCACGTTATAGCACCCACAGCGTTGTGGGTTTGAGTTTAACTGGCGATGTTATTCATTTTCTCCACTGATGAAAGCTGCATCTTTCTCCATTCTTATCATCAGCATCAGTGACTGAGGAAGATGAAGATGAAGTGGACTTTCCCTTCCAGGCTCCATCATTAATGTTGATGAATAAACTCTTTCACTTGTGAAAGATATTCAGTCGGTCACTCTTCACTGATTGGTCAGCTCACTCGTGCTATTTGTTCTTCTTTCAGCAAATGTAAAAAGTGCTGCTCATCTCCTCTCAGAGCTGCTTCAGGATCAGATTCCTCCCTGTTTTATATCTCAGTCTCAGAATCAGATCCTAGCACAGCAGTGCTGCTCTGACAGGCCTTGTGAAAATCAGAGCAGCACTGCACAAACACACTCATTAGTTGTAGTGATGAATGGAGCTTAGCTTTAGCTTTAGCAGATGGAAATATGGAGCTGATTTACAGTGAACTGGACACAATGAGATTCTGACCAACATTTAAAAGTAGAAACACTACATGAGCAGAACTTGGAAAGAATGAAGTTCAGTTCAGAGCTGATGATTTCCTGTGTATCTTCAGTACAGAATTAGTCTCAGATTCAGAATCAGCACACAGGAAGTGACGGGCAGCATCAAGTGTGTGGGTAGTGGTGACTTCCCCTGCATGTTCAGTGTTCTGTATGTGTCTTTCTGCTGGTCTGTGCAATAAAGAGCACTTTCTCACAGCACATTCACTGTGTTTTACTCTCTGCCGATGTGACAATATGCATGCTCCTTATTCGCTGAATAGTATAAAATTTGCATATATTTGGTAACAGTGTAACTTCACACGCCTGCAGACAGGAAGAATAAACAGGCTTTGTTTTTTCTGTTTATGTCCCTTATTATGGTTACACTACATGAGGTATTAAAAACAAACTGAATCATTAAATTGTGAATTAAAGTTCAAATTGGGTTCAATCTTGTCATAGTCAGTTTAAAAAATGAGTGAATGCTCTGTGAGCACCTAGCATCCATACTCTCACTTTATAATTAACATACCACCTTAACGCAACTCACACACAACCACAAGTAAAAAGTTCTTTTCTTTTACACTTTTTCCTCTTTACTCTGTTGGCCAAAACAGGCACAACACGAGACGTCTACCCGCTTGCTCTGCTGCCATGTCTTCCTTAGGACTTTTTCTTTTTCTTTTGTTTTTAATTCACGTTTAAAAACGGGGACGTTTAAGGCGACAGCTCCAGCCAGGGAAAGACTACCGAAAGCTGGGACTGTCCCAGAAAACAGGGATGCTTGTTCACCCAAGGCTTAATCCACATCCAGGAAACCAGCCCTTAATAATATTAGGCCTTATATAATTATCAGAAAATCACCCAATCACAATTATTTGAAATGTAATTATGTGAGATAATCATGATCATTTTTCACAATTATTAGATTTTATAGGGATTTTAAGCTACAAAAAGCAAAATGTGTTTTGACTTGAGGCAAATAAAAAAACAGTAAAATCATTCTGGATACATGAAAAATTGAACTTGGTGCTATAACGTGTTTCGAGAAGGGCACAAGTAATATTTGGCTATTTATTAGCCATGTAGTGAATTCCAGCATTTTTAGCATGTATGCTAGCAGAATGAGTGTTTCATTAGGTTAGGTTTGGAGTAGTTTTGTTTATATTTAGCTAATAAGTGTTCTAATTACTTATTGTATGTTTTTCCCTTAATTAGTTCAGGAACTATAGGTCACGCCTATTTAGAATAACTGCAGATTAACTTTGGTTCACGGATGAAAAGGTAAGCAACATAACATTAACAATCAATGTTTGTTTCACTGGGTCGAGTTTTGAAGAGGTTAACCTCTTTTTTCCATTTTTTCTAGGTTTGCAGGTTACACATACACAATGGATGCTTAAAAGGAAGAACGGAACATAAATCACCCTTAACATGAATCAACTCTGCATAAATGGTTGTGAATACAGATAAGCTCTTTCAAAGTCAAATAAAATAAATAATAATAATAAAAAAAGAAAGTCTCAGCTCTTTTGATGCAGTCTCTCGAGTGAGCTTACAGTCCAAATGAATATTTCAATCAAGCTCTCAGAAAAGTACTGTTCAGAAATGTCTCAAGGTTGGAAAGGAAAAACTAACGTAAGAGTGCTGTATTCCGTTGGTATTTCGGGACTTTTCGCATTTCAATAGTTATTGTGGAAATACCCATCATACACGATTTAATGATTGGTTGGACTTTGCAAAATCTGCCTAGCAACCAATATGCATTTTGACTGGTCACATTTGGGCTTTTAAAGAAATAAGAAAAACATGAATGAAAAAAACATCATCTGTGTGATCAGTTTGTGCCGTTAGTATTCCGTACACCAGCTTCCACAAAAGGAGCAGTTTTCCGTACAGTTTTCCCTGCATTTTATTTGAAGTTTTATGAAATCTTACTGCATAAATATAGACATTAACTGATTATACTGATTATAAAATTAAATTAATATAAACAATATGTGCAACGAATAAGGCTACCATGGAAAAAAGCCCAGTAAAGTGAGGCAGTGGTGTGAAGCTGCGCAGCTGAAAGGAGTCTGCTAAGGTCACTTACCTGATGGTGTAAACTTAGATTAACAACTCAGTACTAAACTTACTGTGTTTCATGGTGATAATCCATTGTTTAATATTCATTTAAGTGTTAAATATGATGTTTTGACGTGAAAGTCTTCCCCACCCCATTCACATTTGCATCCCTGGGTTTCCCCATCCGCCATAGATTTGATGTCCAAACCCAGCTTAGATGGTCTTGCCAACCGATTTGATGGATAAAGGATATACGATTAATGTCTCAGATGTATCCTTGACAAATGTCAAGAAAGTGTTTATTACTCAGGATATTACTCACCCAAAATAGCTTTGTGCAAAAAAAAGTGCGAACTTCAATACAGTCCGTTTCCTACCGTACTAAAGCAAAGAATTCAGTTTTATCTGTTAACAGGCACGATATCGGTGGGTTGGCTCCATCTGGTGTCTGCGGTGCACACTTGCTTCAGTTTGCAATTTCACTGTGGTGGGTGAACCCGAAAGAGAAGAAGGAGAAAACACACAAAAGAGGAAAGAAAAAAACCTGTCGTCCATTACGGGTCAAGAGAACACAAAATAACTCCATTTCACATAATGCAAGTAGAAATAAACAACAAGGCTACGTGCTCTGCAGCTTTAGCAAAACGGCGACGGAGCAGCAGCTAATCACAGGCTAGCTCTCGCCCAACGTAGCTCACTTGTGTAAATTCCCACTGTTAGCTTGAATATCATGAGCTCAGCCTGATTTAAACAATACTATAACGTGACCATTACCTTACCACTAGAATATAACCGTGAATTACACGTTTAGTTCACGTTTATATTACTAACGAGGCTTTAACTCACCAAAACCGACTCGTTTCACGAACCAACAAGGACAGTTTCCCGTCCTCGTCTGGTTGACGGTCTGGTAACTGCTTTCAAGCTGGTTTTATAAGGGTTTTAGTTCTTTTATTTCCAAAAAATAGGCTTTATTTCGCTGTTTGTTCGAGTTCTCCCCTCTTTCCTCCGCTCTATATGATTTTTCACTCGCGCTGCCGTTGTTTTTTCCAAGTTACACGAGTTTCTTAAAGGGACAGAACACCTTTTACAACTGCTGAGCGGTTTTAATGATCTAATGACATCTCCTTTATCCTTTGTGGGTTTCTAACATGGATTATCATTTCAGCTCATTTAATTGTGCTAATAATAGTACAATAACTCAATACCTTTTAGGTGTGTGAGCAGACGTATTTTAATATGGGCTACAACATCAACAGCTGCATACAATGAATAGAAAATTAAATTGTTATTTGCAATTATTTAATGATAATTAATTTGGCATCTAAGATTTTAGAACTGTGAAAGCCCTAAATGACATTAATAGTAAAAGCTCTTGATGATCATGTCAGGGTTGATCTATCATCGACTGGTTTGTGCTGCCATCTAGAGGAATGTAGCTGTAATTACATGCACACTGTACTTTAAGGCCCATCACTGACTGACTGACTGATATCTGGAGCTCTGTATCAGCTCACCTGACACTTCATCCATCTTTCACTAACTCGCTAACATTTTCAGTTATTTATTAACAATACTGCTGCTGTTTAATGAATACATTTATTACAAGGTTTATTATTTTATTATTATAATTTTAGAGTCTTGGATAGTTGGTATGTGGAGAATATGTAGATCAGCTGAAGTTAGTTTGGAAGGAGACAACAAAAGAGACATTAGTGAACTCATTCAGAAGAACCTTTACTGTAAATATTAAACTTATAATGAAAGAAAGGCATAACGACTAGTGGAAAGACAAACATGCATTGTTTTACAATTCATACTGCATGAATATTGGGAAATGAACAGAAATGTAAATATTTGGGACAATTCCAAAGGACAGGTAATAACTAACTGAAGCTAAACTGATCTGCCCTGCTGGACGCTGCCAAAACTCTAACAAAAACAACTACAGAACATTTCACTTGTCAGTAATTCCCCATCTGGCCACCAGAGGCCTCTCTCTCCTGACTACTAGCCTTGATGCCAGGATCAAGCCACCTGCACCTCATTATTTCTCTAATGAGTCTCACTTTAAACACTCCACAAACTTTTGTTTGACCTCCTGTGTTTAGAACCTCTGTCTGCCTTTTTGGAATCTGTCTTTGATATTTTGCTTTTTGCATCACTACCTGAGTCTTTAGACTGATTTACTGGATTGCCTTGTTTTTAATAAACCTGCAAATGGATCCCTCACAACTCTCAGAGTATATATTGTCACATCACTACACTGTTAAACCCATCCCTAGATGATTTGTACACATATGGACAGAACAGACATGTGGACTGCTTGAGGGGACCTGAGGGCCAGTTTGAGAACCACTGCCTTAGTGAATCATTTGTATGAATGAGATGTGTTGGTGTGAAGAAACTTTATAAGGTTTAAAGAACCTCTCCAAGATAACGTAAAGGTTCTACAAATGTTAGATACTAAAGGTTTTTCTTCTTTTCCCAACTGTACTTGAAGACAAGAACCATCAGGAATCTTTATTTGAAAGAGTTAATCATGTAACTACAATTTATTAATTAATTAAAAGTTAAACATCTTTAAAATAATAATAAAATAAGTGCTACTGATCAGTGTGTGCTGTCCAAAAAAGTTTTTTAAAATCATGTGAGAAGAACTAAGAAGCACTGAATGCACTTGAAAAGTTTTTCTGAATTCAGAGCTCAGGTTCTTGAACTGTTCACAGAGATGTACTGCAATACTTTAAACATATAAACACTGAGCACATCACTCAGTTATTCTCTCTCTCTCCTTCGTTGGGTGGATGTGTAAAGTCTGAGTGGTTCCCATGGTGATAGTCAGTCAGCGTTTGTTGTTCACAGTCTGAAATGAAAAAACAAAGTAAACTTGAACCAACCAGTATCTGAGTACAGATCATCAGAAGGACTGGAATGAACAGTCTGTGTGAGGGAAAGAGAGAATGAAGCAGAGGAGGAGAAATGAAGAAATGTGGACTTTGTAGGAATTCTTTATAAATCTGAACGTCTGACTGAACTGAGTTTCTGACGAGACACTTACTGTGAGTGTGTTGTACACATCATCAGAGGACCTGGACACGGGGTCAAGAGCTGTGTACGTGTCGTCCTTAGCATTAGGGTCAACGTTCTGGAGAGAGGAGAGTTAGAGAACATAAGCAGTTTGAGTTCTCACTGATAAATATGTTTACTCTACAGACCAAAAGACTGGAAGCAACACAAACTTCGTCAAACAGATTTATTTCAACAGATAACAATCTGTATATAACATCATAGTTACTGCACTGTTCAACAATGGAACAATGTTAAATTGTGGAACAAAATTCTGGTATCAGATGTCAGTAACATGATATGCTGGTTATTCATAATGTATAAAGTTCTGGTCTGTCAAGTTCATGAAGTGTTTCTGTGTGTGGAGGAGCTGAAACTGAATCACAGACTGTGCTATAGAGCCCAAACTGCAGAGCTCAGAATCAGCACCTTAGACAGCTCTCTTACTCCACACCTGTGCTTCTCTACAGACACGTCTTAGATCAGTACTGCCATCTACAGGTGGAGATCTGTAATGACTCCAGCTGCTGGAGCTCCTCTACACTGCAGAGTGTAGTGTTTACTCTGTAATAACCCACTAAATCAACTCAACAGGTAGGAAACAACCTTCAGGAGTTTAATCAGATGAGTTACAGCAGCACAAACACTGAACTGTGCAGTTCAGCTTCACTCCAATAGCTTTAACAGCTCACCTGATGGTCATCTTCCTCCATCGTTCTCTTCTTCTTTATTTTGTTCCTGCTTTCAGAAATGAGATAATGTTGTATCAGCATAATTTATCATTGAATATTACATTATATTGCGGTGACTTGTCCTGCTACTGTTACGCCCCTGAGAGGGGGAATGATAGAGAATATTAGTTTTAGAGCAAACACAGGACACGAAGCGTACTGCTCACAGCTGCATCACTTTATAAGTCGTTTGATATTATGCATAGAATTAGAATTCATTACATTAAACTCTCTTTATAGCGCATTAGAAAAGCATACACTGTTCATGTGCTGAGCTAACACACATACATACACATACATTCGCTTCACAACTTTTCAAAGGAAAGGAATATGCAAATTGAATACAGAAGCTCTCAACTAGTTCACTTTTAGCTTTTAAACTCACTTTTAGCTTAGCACAATCACGAGTAGCCAAATTTTAATACTTTCCCCATATTTCCCACAGCCTTCACTTACACAGAACAATAGTATCTAATTAACTTGGTACTTAAAGCTGTTGAACTCCATATACCTCAATTTAGCCCTATATCAGTCACATTTTGAACACAAACTAGAGCAGCAAATCTGTACATCACAACAGGCTTAACAATAAACAACAGGCACTTCGCAATGTTTAGCTGAGCTATTTAGCCTTTTAGCATTACTCACTCCATAGGTAAAGCTCAGTTAAGTAAAGTAGTTCCATTACGAAATATGAACAGTGAAAATGAGTAAAACTTACAACAGTTATACAAGTCTCTTGTTAAATGAGCATAAAGCTCCTTAGAACAGCGCTGGGTCGCTTATTTTGCACTTCTAGCTTTTATCAGAGTGCCAGGTCAGTGAGCTAATCTAGTGACTCGCATTTTAGAAACGCCACATAAAGACGGAAAATTTGCTATTAAAACCACAGTCAAACAAGATTTCACAAACAAGGACGCTTCTTTAAACACTATACTTGCAATTTTATTTAAATAATTCGTACCTGAGAGGGGGAACGATAGAGAATATTCGTTTTAGAGCAAACACAGCTGCATCACTTTATAAGTGATGCAAGCTAAGTGTGCTTTCTCTAGGTTCCCGCGCTCAGTCCGAACACATCAATGACAGGCTCGACCAATCGATCACTCAATAATGGTTCATATAGAGAAATGCAGTGTTTTATCAGTATCAACAGTTAGAAACACACTTTTTTTTTCTTCTCTTCTTTGAACATCCTTTTTTTTTCTTTTCTTATATCATTATCAAAACAGAAACATACTTTTTCTTTCTTTTCTTTTTTAAGGGTGTTACACTACAACATTTATTAATTAAGTTCATATTTCAAATGATGTTTTGGAGGAAAATAGATTCAAGATAATCCACTTGCATAAGGAGGAAGACAGTCAAAGAAAAATAAATGAAAGACAACAGATTCCCAAACTGGAGAAGTAATTTAAAATTAACATGGAACTCATAACAACTGTGCAAGACCTGGTGGACCACCAAAAACTGACCACACCAGATAAACAGTACTTAAAGCATTCATCTTTGAGAGAGAGTAGAAAATCGAGCTGCTTCAGATCTGGAAAAAACACAGGAGATTCTCTCCATCCTTCCACTGTGAGAAGACACTCAACACTATGAGTCTGAAAGGATGTGTAGCAGGTATCAAGAAGCCTTTCAAAGGTTTTTAAAGGATTGACCACCGCAGAGTCCAGACCTCAACATCACTGAACGTGTTTTTGATTATTTGGAACAGAAGAAGCAGAAAATGCATAAACAATTTCTAGGACTGAACTTTGGAGGTGTAGAAAAATGTCCCTGCAGAATGAAAGAATAGATCTTACTTTCTGTAAAATATAGTTTTTCAGTAGTTTTCTTACTAACAAGAAAACATGAATAATTTAACTGAAAAGTGGTCTTAGACTTTTGCCCAGCACTGTAATGTTTTCCATACTCTATATCAAGGAATATGGAAAGAACTGATTCAAACGTATCAAAATAACATAGAAGCAAACACAAATGCTGTTTCTTACCACATCAAGAAAACAACCACAATAAACACTGCAACCTCACAGAGCCCAACTCCAACCACCACACCCAGAGTCATAGAGCGTTCTGCTGAGAGACACATGGACATGAACATCATCAAAGTATCAATGAACATTAAAAATGACATATTTTTTAAAGTACCTTTTGAAATGATGGGCACTGCAGCTGATTTTATAGATCCATGTTCATTCTGAGCCGAACAGTAGTACCATCCACTGCTTTTGGAGTCAATGTTGAAACTGTAACTGTGTCCAGATCCTACAGGTGAGCTTCCACCTTCTTTAAACCAGGTGTAGTTCTGCACAGGTGGGTTTGCATCACTAATGCAGGTCAGATTCACTGAACTGCCCTCCACTATTTCAGCAGAGGGACTGAGGGACACTGAGATATTCTTTGGGCCATCTAGAGGTAGAAAGACACATTACACTTTCAGAAAAGGGGATAGGCTAACAATAATTTGTTACTGAATTCTGCCAATTTTTCAAAACATCTGCATAATTAAATGGTTGAGATGTAAACGAAGTCATTCAAAGTGGTTTGGTGTGAAATGCTTACTGCGTCAGAATTGCTCAAAGTGGTGGTGATAGGAACCAGATGTCTGAAGAGTTTGATGTCTCTCGCACAAATGTATTACATGAAATGATTAATAATATGGTAACATTTTATTTTGAGTGGCTTAATAGAGTATTAGTAACACATCAACAACATATCAGTGAAGTAGCAGTAGTGAAACATCTGAATACGTTGAGATAAATATCTTGAAAATGTACTTTTGATACATTACTAAGCAGATGTACTGTTGATATGTTACCTTACCCAAAATGTAATCCTGGCCCTGATCCTAACTTTAACCCTAACCTCAACCAAAACCTAATCCTAACCCTCACCCTGGCCCTAATCCTAAACTTAAACAACACTTCATCCAGTTAAGCTCCAGTTACAGAATGGTGTCAGCAGTGTGTTTATAACAGCTTGTTGAGGATCTTGAGATGGTCTGTATTAAACCTGCTAGGATGAAGCAATCTGAGCTAAACAACATGCAATGTGCTCCTCAGTATGTGGAGCTTCGAACAAGCCAGGTGTCGGAGTGATGACGTAGGCGCCGGACAGCCATCGTGACGTTTAACCTCTGTTTGCAACTTCCGGGTGCTCCATACCCCTTCATGATTCTGTCAGACAGGCTTCTTCCGAGACCTGTGAAGACAGCCACCGCTTCTTTTCGAACTGCCGCTCAACGTTATTGGACAGCTGAACGCGCTCGGAGGAAAGCGTCGACCGCCAGATCTTTTACGTCAGCTAACAGACACCTGCGCTGACTAGCATCACGTTGAGTGATGGGGGGAGAAGGAGAGGCCATCCTACCCACCCAGAGAGAGCAAGGCCAATTGTACTCTCTAGGGCTCCTGGCTACGGATGGCTGTAGCATCACCAAGGATCGAACTCACGATCTTCTGATGATAGGGCCAACGCTTAGACGGTTGCGCCACTCGGGAGCCCAGATTGCTTCATCCTAACAGGAGTTACAACAGAATATTCAAGTGAATCTCCCTGTACATGCAGGCTGTTAAGTCGAAACAGTCTCTAAAGAAAACATATTTTTTCAGATGCATCACTTGCCATTATCAACATTACTCACTGTGGCATCTGACATAGATTCCATGTTTCAAGAGGAGCTCAAGAGGCGTGGCATGCAAACCTTCACCTGAACGTGCCACGTCCTCTGTTAAAAAGGGCGTTTGTTGTTGTTGTTATATTCCCCACTATTTTCATGGCATTTTCCTTGAGCATTGACATTATCTGATTCTTTTTTGCTGGTGCTACATTAGTATGAAAAGTGGAATTTTGCAGATGAGCTGGAAGAAATCAAGGAGCATAACAACAATCAATGGCAGATGGTGAAGAAAACAGAGCCTGGTGAATAGGGGTACTGAGCGCTATGTCCTCCCCCTCCTGGATGGGGCCAGCCTCCACTTACTGCACTACAATGGCAAAGGCACCTGGGAGCTGTACTGTGTGCAGCTGCAAGTAGTTACCCTGCCTCATGGCTTGATGGTAGCCATCATCGCAATACATCTGTGTCTGGCACTGGAAAGAAAGTGCTACAGGTGCTTGTGGAGCTGCTGGAGAAGCAACATGACCTTCACTATAGCTCTTCTGTGGCATTTTGGGCAGGTACCGACAGGCCTGACAATCAGGAAGCTACTTCCAGAAAGGTCGAGGCTAAAGAGAGAGAGGAAAAGCGTGCTGGCGCCAGTGCTGAGCACAATGGTTCAGCAGGTCCAGTGTTCAAGAAAGCGGCACAAGAGGCGCTGGAGCTGAATGTGCTGTTGCTGGATGGATTGAGAGGGCTCATGCTGCTCGTCGCACTGGCCAGTCTTCAAGTAGCCACCACTGAGTCAGAGAGAGTGGAACTCATCCTCAACAAAAAGACACAGAGGTAACAATTCTATGCAACGCAGGCAACATGCAGACCGGCCCCTGAGGGAGTGGTGGCGAAGCAGCTAGAGTGTGGAAAAGGGGACATAATGCCAGCCAATGCCTTGAGCCTCAGCAAATGGAAAATAGGAGCACGGCTGCCTAGAGAGGGTTGGGCAGTCCCCAGAGAGAACCATTCTCAGCATCGATGGCATTCAGGAAGATTTGTTGCTGCTGCAGGCTTGGGATTTAACACAGTATAGATAGGAAATAGGTCACTGCTCTCATCTGACACTGAGCTAGGCACTCACACAGTAACGCCGATGTCCTATCCTGCCACCCGTGTGCTGCTGAGGAATGCCGGTACTGTGCACCTTGAGGAGAATGGGGAGACAGTTGAGAGGAGCACTGCTGCTGCTGCCGTCACTCCCATTGGCACCAGACTTGATGCTGTGAACTCCAAGGATATCTGCCATGCACAGGAGGAGGATGCAGAGCTGTGTTGGGCAAGCTGTTGGCTGAAGGCGGGGCGAAACCTGGATTGGACTGACGTGATGCCACCCAGGCATGCGCCGGCTGGGACAGCCTCTGGATGCACAAAAAGAAGCTGTACCATGTGTGGGAGGAGCCAGTGCCCAGGGAGCATGTGTGGCAGTTGCTGGTGCCTCGCAGCCTGAGGAAGATGGTGCTGAGAGTGATGCATGGGGCAGCCAACATGGCCTTAGATTATTTCACAAATTGGCCCAAGACATATGCAGTCCTGGACCAGAATGCAACCACAACAGCAGGGCAACTAATTGAGGAGTTCATCTGCCAGTTCAGAGTGCTGAAGGAACTCCAGAGTGACCAGGGACACAACTTCAGCAGACATAGCTGAAATCTGTAAACAGCTGGGCATTGGTCTGACTAGAGAAAGAATTCAAGAAAGCAGGGAGAACTGAGAGAAGACTCAAGAGCTTTGACCAAATTACCAGCCAGCCTTATTGCAGCACTCAATGAAGAGAACCCAAGACCCAACATTAAGTAACTGGAGAGAGCTGTTTAACAAAGTCTTGCCCAGGTTTTCAGAATTGCCCTGATTAAGAAGGGGGACCTGAGGTTCATCGCCTCTGATGATGAACATATAAAGACATTATAACTTGGGATACATTTTTTTGAGGAACAGTTTAACATAAACCCTCAGCTTTGTTTGCTTTCTGAGATTGAAAAAAAATAATCTGTACTTACATCTGACATTAAGAGTGACCTCAAGAGAGTTCTGACGCAGTACAACACAGCGATACCTGCCTGTATCCTCCCTACTGACTGACTGCAGGTGGAGTTGGTCAGTACTGGAGGATAAACGATGTTGATTTCTGTACCAGGTGAATGTTGGTCTGACTGTCAGACTACAGGTTGTTTTACATGTGAGAGTGACGTTATCTCCCTCTATCACTCTCTCAGGAACCTCCACCTGGAGATCTGAGAACAAGAGAAAACAAACTCACACTGTGGAGACTCACACTAGCTGAATGATGGTGTTAATGTCTGGAAGGTTAGAGACAGCAAAAGCCTCCTCTGAACTGTATGATAGCTGCTACTACACTGTTAAACACCTCAGTGTGCAGATCAACTCTGACTTATGTACTACAGTTAATGAACTACTGCTAATACAGCGTTGTTAAACACCTCAGTGTGCTGATCAACTCTGACTAATGTACTACAGTTAATGAACTACTGCTAATACAGCACTGTTAAACACCTCAGTGTGCTGATCAACTCTGACTAATGTACTACAGTTAATGATCTACTGCTAATACATCACTGTTAAACACCTCAGTGTGCTGACCAACTCTAATATACTACAGTTAATGATCTACTGCTAATACAGCACTGTTAAACACCTCAGTGTGCTGATCAACTCTGACTAACGTACTACAGTTAATGATCTACTGCTAATACAGCACTGTTAAACACCTCAGTGTGCTGACCAACTCTGACTAATGTACTACAGTTAATGATCTACTGCTAATACATCACTGTTAAACACCTCAGTGTGCTGACCAACTCTAATATACTACAGTTAATGATCTACTGCTAATACAGCACTGTTAAACACCTCAGTGTGCTGACCAACTCTGACTAATGTACTACAGTTAATGATCTACTGCTAATACATCACTGTTAAACACCTCAGTGTGCTGACCAACTCTAATATACTACAGTTAATGATCTACTGCTAATACATCACTGTTAAACACCTCAGTGTGCTGACCAACTCTAATATACTGCAGTTAATGATCTACTGCTAATACAGCACTGTTAAACACCTCAGTGTGCTGACCAACTCTAATATACTACAGTTAATGATCTACTGCTAATACAGCACTGTTAAACACCTCAGTGTGCTGACCAACTCTGACTAATTGACTAATGTACTACAGTTAATGAACTACTGCTAATACAGCGCTGTTAAACACCTCAGTGTGCTGAGCAACTCTGACTAATGTACTACAGTTAATGAACTACTGCTAATACAGCATTGTTAAACATCTCAGTGTGCTGACCAACTCTGACTAATGTACTACAGGTAACAGCTCAGTTAACTGTTATGTACACAGATTGGACTTATACATGGTCTGTAGGAGTCTCTGCAAATCTAATAAAGCTTACAATTAATGAGTCATTCTGCCAATGTGGTGGCAAAGAGGGTACAATTACAGTGGTGCTTGAAAGTTTGTAAGCCCTTTTGAATTTTATTCTATATAAAAAAATATTCTGCATAAATTTAGATTTGGCTATTTTTAATTATGGAAATTAATCAAATATTACATATCTCTGAGTGGCAAAAGTATGCAACCTTTACTTTTAGTATTTGGTGTTACCCCCTTGTGCAACAATAACTGCAACTAAACGTTTCCGGTAACTGCTGATTAGTCCTGCACATCTGCTGTGGAATGTTAGCCCATTCCTCTGTGCAAAAGAGCTTCAACTCTGTTATGTTGGTGGGTTTTCTTCCATGAACTGCTTGCTTTAAGTCCCTCCACAACACTTCTAAAGGATTAAGTTCAGGACTTGTTCGGGGTACCATGACTTTTGTGCTTAGGGTCGTTGTCTTGCTGCATGATCCATGTTCTCTTGAGTTTTAGCTCATGGACAGATGTCCTGACGTTTTCCTTTAGAATTTGCTGGTAAAATTCCGAGTTCATTGTTCCATCAATGATGCCAAGCCATCCTGGCCCAGATGCAGCAAAACAGGCTCAAACCATGATACTACCACTACCATGTTTCACAGATGGGATAAGGTATTTATGCTGGAATGCAATGCTTTCTTGTTCTTTTCCTTCCTCCAAACATAACACTTCTTATTTAAACCAAAAAGATCTATTTTGGTCTCATCCATCCACAAAACATTGTTTCAGTAAACTTCTGGCTTGTCCATGTGATCTTTAGCAAACTGCAGATGGGAAGCAATGTTCTTTTTGGAGAGCAGTGACTTTCTCCTTGCAACCTTGCCATGCACACCATTGTTGTTCAGTGCTCTCCTGATGGTGGACTCATGAACATTAACATTAGCCACTGTGAGACAGACCTTTAGTTTCTAAGAAGTTACCCTGTGTTCTTAAGTAACCTCGACTTTTACACGCCTTGCTCTTGGTGTGATCTTTGATGGTCGATGTCACACATCCTCCTGGCTCTGATGTCCAAAAACACTTCATTTCCCAGAACTCTCTGGGAGATCACGTGACCCATGAACTTCCATGATCCACCAATCAATGCTCCAGCTCTGCTGAATACTAACTTGTTGCATATGTAACGTTTATCATATGACTAGCTATAGTTTAGTATAAAAGCCCGGGCTCTAGCATAGAATATTTGCAAGGTATTGCTTCTCTCTGTAAAGCTATTGAGTGTTGTTTTGCCTCCTGTGATTCTTCACCGTGTTTTTTGGACTTTTTGTCTTTACCCTTTCGAATCTGGTTGCCTGATATTGTTTATGTTTTTTTTTCTATTTTTTGGCCTTTTTGAAATTTCATACCCGTCTTTTCAGTGTGAGTTTTGTCAAACCCTTTCAAAGTAAAATCTCATTTATTTTTTTACTGCGAACGTCTGTATGGTTCTGTTTCATTACAGAATACCTCACCATTAATGCAGACAGCGGGCCATGAGGCTTTCCAGAAGGCCGTTACTATTCAAGGCCATCTGCTCGGTCAGCAACAACAGGTTTTGGCAGGCGTTACTCTCTGAAAGCTCTGACCCAACAGCAAACAGAACAAACGACACAACTGGTTCGGTTGGTAGCCACCGTGAAAGAGCTAACAACCCAACTACAAAGATTAGGTATGTCTGCTGAGAGTGAGAAGGTTGCTGCTCTACGTCTGTAGATGCATCTAGTTGAGTCTTTTTGGTTTGTAAACCTGACAAGTTTGACGGAAACCATGATAAATGGTCTGGTTTTTACTCCAGTGCTCGATTTTCTTTAATAACTCACTTCCAAGCTCTGATAATAAATAATAATAAATAATCAATCAACACTCCAGCTCTTCCGAATACTAACTTGTTGCACCTGTGATGTTTGTCATATGACTAGCTATAGCCAGGCTTTAGCTTTTAGCGTTTTTTTGGACTTTTTGACTTTGCCTTTTTGTCTTTGCCCTTTTGGACCTGGTTGCTTGATTTTGTTTGTTATGTTTGTCTTTTTCTATATTTTGGCCTTTTTGCATTTGACCCTTGCTTGTCTTTTCACTAAAAGTATGGTCAAGCCCTTTTACAGTAAAGGTTCACATACTTTAGCCACTCACAGATATGTAACACTAGATTTTTTTCCTCTTTATCTACGTTTAGGAGTTGTATGAAAATCTGATGACATTTTAGGTCAAATTTATGCATAAATATAAAAACTTCTAAAGGGTTCACAAACTTTTATGCACCACTGAACATGTAATTCATATGTAAAATGTAAAAGTAAATCGAACCTTTTCTAAAATATAGTCTACTGCTACATTAGTTTCAAACACATTGCATGTTAAAAACTATATTTTGCATTCATGTTATTTTGTTTACATTTTAAAATATCAATATGACATACATTTAATAATAATAATGTAGGACAGACAACAATTTTAATGCATTTTCACAATTTTAACTGAAAAACAAGCATTAACATTATTTAACTTAAAAATAAAATTTCATCATATTTCAAGTCACTGCTGTTTTTCATGTACCACACTGTAATCATGTATCACTGAAATAAAAATTAAAAAATGATCTTTTTTTTTTGTTTGTTATTCTTACTTTGAACTCATTTTCAGGGCTTCAAATTTGTCAGACACCTTTTGCCACCAGAAGAGAAGAATGACCAAAATGTGAAACATTCTGGACTGGAAATCAGTATTAAAACTGGTTCCTTTAATTCTAAGCAGTGTGTTTTTCAGGTGTGCTATGAAGGATTGATTATTTACATTTAATCATATTACAGAACTGCTTTGTGATCCTGAACACCAGTGAATGAAGTACAGTGTCTTATTTCTGCTGATGGATCTTACCTGTGACTGAAAGATCAACTCCACCTGCTTCCTGCCACCTTCTTCTATATCCATCCTTTATACATCTGCAGTAGTATTTACTCTGATCCTTTTCTGTCACATTCTTCAGTCTGAGAGTGAACTGTTGTTGATCTCCGTGGTACTGAACTCTGCCTCTGTACTCTGGATCACCTACCAGATCAAGAGGCCCTTTATCTGTATAAAGATTTTTGCTCCAAGTAAAATATTGTGATGGGAGAGTTGCATATTTGGAAAAGCAGCTCATGGTCACTGTAGACCCCTTTAGAGCACAGATAGATTTAGTTCTGTAATAAACAGCCCACCCATCCTGGGCAACAACTGCTGCAATACAAAATACAGAAATCAGTAAATTATTACTGTTTGGGTCTCAGTCAGTAAAAATGCTGCATAAAGTCTCCACTTCAGCTCATTTCTAAGACTGTTCATTTCAGCTGAGTTTGAATGATCAGCTGTAATAAGAAATTATCATATTGTGTAGAACTGGTCACCCTGAACATGCATAGCACAAATGACCATGGCCCAGTTTCCGAAAAGCATATTAGCACTAAGATTATCTTAACTGGTGGAAAGAGTGTTGACTGTGATGCTCACTGCATCACTTAAGAATCATCTTTGTGCCAAGATGCTTTTGGTAAACCCAGACCTGATGATCACATATAGAAATAAACTCACTGTACAGAGTTCAGTTCACACTTTGGTGAGAAGTAACAGCTCTGACTCACCAGAGATGAAGAGCAGAAACAGCAGAGAAACAGTCAGAGACATTCTGAGATCAGCACTGCAGATGTAAAGATAGATTGATGGTTGATGTTAAATATCCATCCGACATTCAAATTTATTGATGTTTTTTAACGTATTGATGTATTTTAACGTAAATAATCTAATTGCAACTCAAAAGTGTTATAAATTCAGCAAACACTGTGAGGACCATCTTCAAGATGGAATAGCACATCTTCAGTTCTACTAGATTTAATAACTTGTCATCCAAAAACTAGCAGTAAAATGTGCTAACAACTAAATAATAATGATGACACACGACTTTATTTTGAAGGCAATACTTTAAATATATATATTTTTTTATTCAACATTGAAATTAGCTGTGTTTGGTGCAGCTAAGACTCAGTAATGATGCACAACATTTGTATTTTACCTTTGAATGTAATGCAGCTGATTTTATTGTTGCATATAATGCAGCTAAAATGCTATTGAAAAATAAAAACGTTATTGTATTACATTCAAAATGCAAAATTGTCCATCATTGCTGCAACTTAGTTACATTCTCTGCTGATATTAGTGTTGTACGCAATGCAGCTGAAATGCTATTAAAGTTCAAAATACATAAAAAATTAATATAAAGTAGATACTGCACTATGGTCCAAAAGTTGTCCATCATTGCTGACATCTATATGCACCATATACAGCTGTTTTAGTGTTGTATATAATGTGGCTGAAATCTTATTGAAATTCAAAATACATGAAAAAAACAATATAACGTAGATGCTGCATTACATTCAAAATCTAAAGTTTGTGCGTCATTGCTGGCCTCTAGCTACACCTTAGACAGTTTCCTTTAGTGTTGTATGTAATGCAGCTAAAATGCTATTGAAACTCAGATTGGAAACAAATTAATATAACATGGATATTGCATTACTTCTAAAATCCAAAGGTTGTTCCCCATTTCTGACATCTAGCTGCACCTTATTCAGTTTATTATAGTGTTGTATGGTATCTGCTTCAAATGTTGAAATTCAAAATGACACAGAAATAATTTAAAGTAGGTTTTGCATTAATTCCAAAATCCAAATCTTGTGTGTCACTGCTGCCAACTAGCTGCACCTTATACCATTGATTGTGGTGTTGTATGTGATCTGCTTGAAATTCTATGAAAACTCAAAATGGGAAAAAAACAATATAAGGCAAATATTACATTACATACATAATACGTCCTTCAGGCAACTCTCAAGTTGTGTGTCCTTTCTGGCACCTAACTGCACCATATACATTTGTTTTTAGTGTTGTATGTAATGTGGTCAAAATGATACAGAAAATAAAAATAGATGTTGCTTTAGTGCCAAAATTCAGAGGTTGTGCATCATTGCTGATACAGTTGATTATAGTGTTGCATATGATATGCTTGAAAATGTTATTTAAAAAAAAAAAATCAGTTATATAAATTAGACATTGCATCATATCCAAAATCCAAAGGCTGCATCACTGCTGCCAGCTAGCTGAAACATTCACTGTTAGTTTTAATGTTATATGTAATGTGGTTGAATAGAGACTCAAATTGGGAAAAGAATAATAGAAATTTTATATTGCATTATGTCCAAAAACTGTCCTTTACAGTTGATTCTAGTGTTGTATGTAACCTATTCGAAATGTTATTGAATGTTTTGCCCCTAAAATGCTATTGAAATTTAAAACGTAACAACTATTTCCTACTTTCTATTTTCCTTTGGCTCATTTCTATAATAACAGCATTTATTAACATATAACTGTAATTGTAAGATATAATTGTTAACTACGGGCAAATAAAGTCATAATGGTATATTTAAAATAGTGAGCAATATTCACCATAGATAAAGGTCAACTACACAAGTAATCTGAAGTCTAGTATATCTAGTCATTGTGAAACCACTGGCTATTTTCCCTTGGCTCATTTCTATTATAGCAGTATTTCATAATGGTATCTTTAAAAATACGTACGTTTACAGGTAAGAGATGCTCAGTGTTGTTAGAATATGTACTGGCAATATGTACATTTGTTAGCTACTGATTAAATAAATGCCCTTTTTAAAAATTAAAGTGGTGTGTAATTCTCCCCATAGCTCAAAGTAAACAGCACAGTTAATGTATAAACACAGTGATTACGGAGACCTTTTTTCCAAAGTATTTAAATGTACTGAAACAATCTGGAGGAAAACAAGTGTGTGTGTGTACAGATTTAGGCATGGTGTATGTTAAATGTCACTCAAACCACAAAAGAAAAGGTGTGCATCACTCTCTGTGGTCGTACATGGCGTGAATATATAAGTCTTTACTGGCTACCATAGTCCGTTCAAAAGTTACTACTGCCAAACAGAATATGGAAAATAAAACTAGCTTATTTCAGAAGTATTAAGAGTGTTTCCTACCTTCATTAACGCAGAGAGCAGAAGGAGCTTCATCAGTTTAATATGGTTCCTTTGTGTGGTTAAAGCGTCGCTGAGTGTCTCTCACATTCACTGACAATTGTTCTTCCTGTTTTCACTGAATCACTCCTTCCTTACTCAAGTTCACTTACACTCATTAAAAACTTAAGTTAAAACTTTTATATCTTAAAAATACTGTAAGAACTGCAGCACACTGAGGAACATTAATGAGTGAGCAGTGAAATGATGAACATTTTTCCATTTAATCAGTTTTCACTTTCTTGCTTGTTTTCTGTGAGTGGGTGGGTGGGTGAGGGGCTTCAACTGACCAGCAACTTTGTTTTTTCACACTAGAACTTCCTTTGCCACACAGGGCTCAGACCACAACAGAGAGCTGTGTGGTGATAATGTCAGTCAGTTTGTCATCCTTTGGTCTGTACTGCCATCTAGGGGAATGTAGCTGTAATTACATGCACACTGTACTATAAGGCCCATCACTGACTGACTGATATCTGGAGCTCTGTATCAACTCACCTGACACTTCATCCATCTTTCTCTTCTTCATGCTTATATTTCAGTGATTATCAATATTGTAAAGTACTGAAGAGTAACTGGGCTATATAGCCATCCTTAGATGTAGTTCAGTAGTCGATAGAATGATGGCTAATGTAGTCTCCCACCTCCCCTTGCTCAACTAAAAATGAATAACAATAATCCCAGATTAATATTTAGCACAATTTCTTAATTAACTAAGAACCAAACAGCTACTAAACACCAGATAACATCGCCCATAGCAGCAACAATTTCATGATTTTTTTCAAAAATGAAACTGAAACCATATGGCAAAAAAAAATTAAAACACAAAGTTTAGTGACATAAAACTGACTTTTTAAAAAAATAAAATGTAACCAGAGATAAACGGGTCTCTTTTATCAGTAATAAACTCTTTTCCAGGCCTTGGCTGTATACAAAAAACTGTTAAACTAACAGTAATTAAGCCTCTGATGCATGTGAGCCATCAAATTATAGACCTATCTCAGATTTTCTGTTGAGCTGTGGCATAACAACAAACTGCTTTCAAACACAGATGGTATAATGCACAGGGTACCCTAGACTGCAGTCTAGGGGCCCATTCAGGGATTAGGGCCCACTGATTGCCCTGATAACTTTATTCATTTATTTTTTAACAGAAACTTGCTCCCATTTGTCCATTACGGTGATACACACCATAGTGTTTGTGAGTTCATAATTGATTAATTTGGTAAAGTTTCCAGATATATTTTAGATTTTGGCAGATTATACGTCACTCTTTCTTAAGTGAGCAGGGGTTAAATTGGGCTGGAATGGCACCCTGGGTTCCTGTGAAAGGTAAACAGAGCTGAGCTCTGGTTTCACAAACTTGTAAGTTCATATTGAACCTTTTCTGCAATTCCATTAAGAAACTGGAGCAGCAAGTGTTTTGGTAAATTAGGCTAAATTTCTTGTTGTGAAATTTCTTGTTGTTGTGTATATTCCAGAATTTCCTCGCAGATTAGGAAATTGTGTTTATGTGCAGCTAAAACTAAACCCAATCATTTTGTATATATATATATATATATTTTAGCAAGTAGTTTTCATTGTTGGTTTGAATTGCTAGGTTTTTGTTCTATTCAAAATCAGGTTAAAAAAAATAAAAACAGTGCATTATCTTTAGATAGAAACTAACATTACACTGCTAGCTAGCTAGCTGCTTAAAGCTACTGTGCTAGCTGCTTAAAGCTACTGTGCTAGCTGCTAAAATCTGTTGTGCTAGCTGCTAAAGGTTACTGTGCTAGCTGCTAAAATCTATTGTGCTAGCAGCTTAAAGCTACTGTGCTAGCTGCTAAAAGCTACTGTGCTAGCTGCTAAAATCTGTTGTGCTAGCTGCTAAAGGTTACTGTGCTAGCTGCTAAAATCTATTGTGCTAGCAGCTTAAAGCTACTGTGCAAGCTGCTAAAAGCTACTGTGCTAAAAAGTGATGCACAGTTTGTTATTGATGAGTTAAGTCTGTTTTTGGTCTTTAAAAAGTCACATTGCTTTATTAATTATAAAACAATGGATGGTACTTAATAATTTTGACAACTACGGGTGGCAATGAGTTATTTTATAATTTATTTACATCACAAGATGTTTTTCTGAGCACATTGTGGATATTATCAATACTCAAAGAACACTGAGACACTGACCAGCTGCATTCATCATTACAAAGAGAGTATAATTGGTCCAGTTTGTGTGAGGTCAGTTAGTCTGACTACATTTATGTGAATTTGCTTAACCCCTATATTGTGGTCCTGGTGTTTCTATCCATATCTAAGTTGAATTCCTCCTCCCAAAGCTAGCAGTCGTCTGATTGGTCCAGGAGAGTAAGCATTTCCATTGACAGTATTTCTATTGTTTGATGACTCAAATATTTGTTAAGTTAAATCTATTTGCTCAGTGGCTATAATATGCACAGAGTTACAGTAATTTTAATAGAGATTATACTTGTTCAAGAAACTACCACTTTGGGTGGAAGTTTTTTTTTTTTATTTATTAACTCTTATTGGTGTTATAAATACCAAACTACAGCTTTCTTTCTGTGTCCTTACGATATAGCATCTTAATACACAAAATCATGTAATATTTATGTATGTAATGTAAACAAAAATCTTTGTGAATCATGTCGAACAAGTACAGTACAAAGGTGAGTACTGTACTTGTTCGAGTGAGTACAAAGGTGCTAATATAAGAATTGAATACCAGACACTCAACTTAATCTTTAAAAACATGTTCAAAGTATGAAATTTAATGTAAAAATAGGACAATATTGAAAATTGTGGACAATTCCTACATTTCTCAATAAATTCATATACTATCACAATTTTTTGGTGTAAATGTGGCCAAAACAAAAAAACAAAAAACACTAAATTTTGAGGAACATATGAAGTTAACATGAGTTAAGAAAGAAATACACTATCTAGCTGTATGAGAACAAAACAGTTTATTTTCATATGGGGAAGTTTAGTTTATTGCTGAAATGTCATTTTCTGAGTTCTACTTTAGTCTAATCCAGATTTAGAATCAGGAAGAAGCAGCAAGTGAAACAGGCCTCAGCACAGCTCGCACTTTATCAAGCACAAATCAGACACATTAGTACAGTATAATGCTGTAAATGTTTAACAGATAAATATGAAGCTCTCGTGTTTGTTTCTCAGATTCAAATTTAACCAAATCCTAGACTAGGATGTCTGATGAATATTCACCACAGGCACTGAAATTTAGTCTGAGACTAGGTCTAATCCACATCTGGAAAACCAGCTCTTAAAGACATTAGGCCTGACACAGTTATTATATGATCACCTAATTGCAATTATATAATACGATCACAAATATTTATTAAAAAGCAGTACAGCATGAAATGGATGGAAGCAGTTGAGCATAAACCATTTCAGCTTTTTTCATTCTTCTTTAAATGAACAAAATATGAAGTTAAAGTGTTTTTCATGAATATTAATAATAAAAATCTGATCCACGGAACAGTATATGGGAAAATTTAGTTTATTGCTGAAATGTCATCATACAGTGAACACACAACATTAGGCTAGATATAGTCCTCAGCTTTGTGACTAAAATGATTAAGTTTAAATAATCATGTTAGCTGTGCACTTCTGTTCATCACACACCTTTTTGTTTGTGTATCAGTGATGAAAGTAGAAAAAAAATGTTGTCAGAATAAACTTGAATACTTGTTTGGCTGGAGATAAAATGGTCTGAACCCCAACACTACACTTTACATAAGGGGACAATCAACTTTCAGTTAAACAGTACAAGCTAATAATTAGTACAGGAAATATCAGAGACTGTAAAACAGTATTTGTTGTTGTTTTCGCCACAAGCAGTTAAGTAGGACATTTTGTAAATGTTATGTACATTTTCAAAGGTGGGCTTCATGTTATCTAGTAGGTGGTTGCAGGTACACTTTGTACATGATTAGAAGGGTGGGCGACGAGTAAAATGAGTTGCCAAATATACTTTAGCAACGTCTGAAACGTGGAGTTATACATTCCCTGTTTGAGTGGAGCGACCGGCAATCTGTTCTACTGTAACCAAGTGTGAGTGGCCAGATAAGTGGCGTAACTGTACTGTCCTACAGTGAACTCACCTCTTTCCTAACATCCTAACAAGCTTTAGCAACATTAAATCACGTCTGCTTATCACAACTGCAGCGAAGTCACCGCACTCAGTCCTATTTTAGTATTAGTGCATTCACGAGCAACGAAAGTGAAAGAAAGAAGTGGGTTCATGTAAATTACAGCCCTGATTTAAACTAAAGTGAGCTGAGGAAGCTGTGAGATATTGGAAAGTGGGAGAACCCTATCTTTCCAGGTTAGCTGTTCTTAGCAGCTGGCTAACTTGAAGCAGCGCACTGTCACTCCACAACATGGGGAATTGATAATACTGTAGATCAAACAAGACACAAAAGCACCAATTGCAGTTTATACATACTTAAAAGGAGGACTCTGTTTGTCTGGTGTGAGATAATCACAATGCAGTTAATGCTTTTACACAGCGAGCGTCAGATATATTGCAGTTCACTCCTCAGACTACTATGATAGAATAGAGCCTACTGACGTGCTGAGCCAGCTAATGTTTGCTGTTCGTCCTAAGTCGACTTCGTTGAGAAACTAAAAAGTTTAGCACTGTTGTTGGCCACTTGTTTAGCATTTGTAATGGGATAGCTGAGCGCTCGTCACCAGACAGCTAAAAATAATCTTTTCTTTCTAAAATTATGACTATTACAGAAATTGCGGCCGTGCTTTTCCAGCCGATAGAAACCACCAACCAGAAACTTTCTCCCACTCTCCCATGACAGATTTGTGAAATGTTCCACTGTTGGAACATTTAATTTCATGTTCTGACCACAAAGGATAGTTTAAAACAGCAACTAACCGCCCAGGAGCAAAAATCAGCCTTCAAACTTGAAAGAAATAATGATTTGACATTTATCGCGATATGTATCGCTATCAACCCACATGAATTTTGTTTATCGTGATAACATTTTTGGCCATAGAGATTGAAGAAGTGTCCAATATATGACCAGGGTTCAAACACAGTCAGCACAGTGTTAAAATTCTCCTTTGAACATTTAGAATAAATACCAGTGGGAAAGTGTTTTTGAATGTTGATCTCAGGCACACAAATGAGAAGGTTGTTTATTTGGGTTTTATATCCAAAAATTTCATCTTACTGATGGTCCTGGTGATGTTAAATTGTAACAGCAGATCTTGACACAGTTGATATAGTTTTCTTCTG